CCCCCCCCCCCCCCCCCGGGAAAAGTGTCTGAAAGAAACACTGCTCCAAAATGTACCGCATTTGACAAGCATAAATGTTGTGTAGAGTTTTAAGGTTGCACGAAATTTTAAAACACAATGGTCATGTGATCCCAAAATATATAAACAACACTTTCGTTCGATTCAATTTGAAAAAAAAAAATAATAATTAATTTGACATCGGGAAACCTTAGATCTTCTATGAAAATTGGAAGAAAAAGAAGAAAAAAATTGACTTAGGGTTTAGAGAGTTACAAGAACTGTAAATTTAACAACATACTAACATAACATTGGCCCACTAAATACTAAATTTGAGGCCGTCTAAAAATCAAAATAAAGTTATAGTTGGTAGACCGCCTCTCATGACATTAGTTATTAATCATTATAAATATTAATAGTAAAAAATACAAAAATTGGCCTAAGCCTACTTACTATACTATACATTATAATATTATAATACGATTTTTAATTAATTTAAGAGTCGTTAAAACATTAATTATTAATTATTAATAGTAAAGTAATACATTATAAATAATATTATATTTACATTCAGATATTCATTTACAATAACTTATTTTTAAAATTTTAGTTTAGTCCAAAGTGGACTAAAGTAGTACTGCAGTACCGCAATCAGCCAGTAGTCTACACTACACTTACACTGATTAAAATTAAATATTCAATTCTGTTTAAAGTGGTTTCGTTTTTACCAGTAACCAGTAGTTACATTATTAAGTTGAGTATGAGTTGACTAGTTGAATAAGTCAGGGATTGCTTGAATTTGAATTCAGCTTAGTCTTTGACGTTATCATCATATTATAAAATATATACATCACATAGTACATAGTCATAGTATGACTATCACTATCATAATTAAATTATGTAATTATTATCTTGCATAAATCCGAATACTAAACTATAAATTACTATAATATTAATATTATTTTGCAAATTGGGGACCATTGTAATGGCATTGTATTAGTAATTAAAATTTATTTTTATTGAGGAAAAATGTTCACCTTAACTTCAGTCATTTATGAATTTATATATAAATAAAACATTTTAATGTTGTCTACTGGATAGTAGGCCTATATTAAAATTATATAGTAAATTGATTGATCAGTAAGTACTTTCTTTCTTATTTCTTCAGGCCTACTAACTAACCTTAACTGTACTTACTGACTTACTAGCATGTCGTTTTTAATTACAACTGCAAAAATTTTTAACAAATCTTTATTAAAGAATAAATTGAAAATAACAAAAGAGACTTTAGGTACCGGTATATATTATATGTGAGTATTTGGTTAAAATATTTACCAGTCAACAAAAATTATAATTAGGCCTATGTAACATTTACTTTCACTATCACTTAGAATTACTAGGAATGTCTGCACAAAGTGCCATTGACCAGTTCGCATTGCCAGCAGCAGTGACCATCCTTGGTATATATCAATTAAGTAAGGGACTATATATATATTAATTCAATCAATCACTATCCCTCTGTCTTTTGATTTTGATCCTGATCCTTTATTTTTTTTCACTCTTAACGACCATTGTCTAGTTCACTGAGGTAGGCCTACACTCATGGGATCAGCACTCTATTTTGAGAACAGTGTTAATTTAACACCATGTTTTATTTATAAGACGTGGGGTCTACATAATAATTTTTATAAGTATTTCTTCAGTGAGGTCTCACCAGGGTTGTCAACCATACATAAGTGTAAAGACAGTATATGTGTTAGATTGAAAATGACTCGTTCTTTTGAGTTGTGTTAGGTTGAAAATGACTTGTTCTTTAGATTCTGTGAGAATCTTAGGATGTTCATATAAAATGAGACACTTATAAGAAATATTTTAAAGTGAACAAATGGTAATGTCGGCATTTATATTTTTTCTTGATTTCTTTTGACTTATATTATCATAATCAGGTGAAAATCAACACTTCAAAAACTGTTCTATAATATATTAATTTTATGAAATAGGCTTATGCCTTATGTCTTATGGGCATGACATAGAACCAGGGACGTCATTTGGGTAGGGCAGGGTGGGGCATTTTCCCGCCACACCATGAATTTACAGGTGTTATTTAAATTGCTATATACTGTAGTGTCTCCAGGAACAAGCCGACCAAGTTTTGGTTCCCCTCACTTTAAAAAAACCTGAAATGACGCCCCTGCATAGAGCTATTGTCTTAAGGATGTCTGAACAATTAATAGTTTTAAAATATCAATAAGGTTATTTAAAACTGTCTGTACAAACATTAGTTTGTAAAAATTTTGGAGATTTAGAATATGTGTTAATAAATTTTATTTCATTGAGTTTGCAACTCTTGGGTGCTCCACTGCTCTTGTTGAATAGATCTTTCTTAGTAGATGATAACTTTTTAAATCTGCGAACGGTAACAGTTTAATAATATAAGTCATCATTCTTCATGAAGTTCACAACTCTTCAATCTTTTGGGGCTTTTAGAAAACATTTTATAGTTTCAGATATTTTTTTAAAAATCGTACAGGCCTTAAACTTTAATAACCAGTTGATATATTTTACATAACATTATCATTTTATACTTGCAGCATATAAGTTATTGATATAGATTATTATCTGGATTGAAATTTATTATTTATTTTTGGACAGGTGTAAGATTTGTAACTGCTGTTGTTAAGTCAAGGCAAAAATTTAAAGTTCAAGTTCCAGATACCAATGGACCACCTGAATTTATAAGGACCTACAGGGCTCAGTAAGAATCTAGCAATTTTTATTTCTTCTTTAGCATAATAAGAAGTCAGAATTTTTTTTTTCTATATCCATGAGAAATAAGGTTGTCTATAAAATGACATTGTCAACAGTTGTTAGGCATCTGGGTGAATTAATTACACTCTTATGCTTCAGATCAGGGGTCGGGAACATTTTCATGGCAAAGTGCCAAATATTGAATTTCGACCTAGTAACTAGTAGCATCCAAGAGCAACATGAGAAAGATCAAAGAGCCACGTGCGGCTCAAGGCTCCCTGAGCCACATGTTCCCGGCCCATGCTTAAGGTTGTCTAGTCACTCTAAATGTTAGTGAGATTCGCAGGTAAATTTAAATTTCTGTTTTAACATGTTCGTTAAAATTGATATACTTCTCACAAAATATAGTTTATATAATAAATATTCATTGATTTTTATTTAAGAGCTGTTACTTTCTTCTACGTGCAGCCAGAATACACTTGAATTTTATCCTGTATCTGTTGTTTGCCTGTGGATTGCATCACTATTCTTTCATCCTGGTAATTAAATAGCCTCTGATTAATTTTTAATGAAATTTTTTTAACAATAAATTGATTAGAAAAAATTTGATAAGCTAAAGCAGTGGTTCTCAACCTTTGAGCACTGACAGCTCAAAATATATTTGTCGAGTTTTTGAGAAAACCCCCCCATACCAGGATTATTCTTAGATATTGAGGATTGAGTTTTGTAAAGATAAGGGGCGAATATAGACTGTAATTTATTTAGCAATATTTTATCAATCATTAATTTGTGTACATTTGTTCATGTTTAAAGGATAATAATTTTATAATAAGTGCAGGAGCAAATAATAATCAATGCTATTTTCTTTTAGAAAAAGTTACTGCTTTTAAACCAGTACAATATTTCATTTCTATTGACAAGACTACTTTGAGAAATAAACTATTTACATAAATTTACTCCAATAAAGATAAGCTTAGCAAAATATCTGATATGAGAAATGCAATATTTATTGTAAATTTAGTTCCAGCTTCAGTTGCATACCTTGGTTTTTTGATTGGAAGAGAGAGATATTTCTGGGGCTACATAGAAACGGCAGATAAAAGGTAATTGCTTTAACTCAACTGCATTTCTTTAAATAAATGTGAAAAAAACACTTCCCACCAACCAAACATCAATCTGTCCTTTTGCAGTATTTTTAATCATATTTAGCTTTCAGTACATAGCTACAATGAAAGCAGATAAGGAGAGTTTTGCATCTTGCTAAATGTTAAATGATCCTTTGCAAATGTTAGATATTTCCATTGCTTTTGATTTCTTATTTTCTTTTCAGGATACCAGGATTTAAGTTCAGCATAAAATGTCTGATTGGGCTTTTTGCCATGTGCATTTTTGGTGTAGTGCATAAATTTGTTCGTTATTATGGAGGCATTGATATATGGCTTAAGATCATAAGTAATGGTAGCTTTTCAGAAAGTGACTTGTAATAAAATCTTAGAAAATATGGTCTTCTTTTTCCAATCCTGCATATTTTCAACCTTGTCATCATTGTACTCACCAGTAAAAATGGACCTATATATCAAGCCTTCTTTTCAGTTCTTTATTAATCTTTTACTAAATACATTTTTTTACTAATTGACAATTATATTATTATTATTATTAATTTATTCTTTTAATTAATTTTATTATCTATGCAATTTACATCAATTTTTATCATATGTTTAAAATAGTTTTACTTGATGTATGAATACAATATTAAAAAAAAGTGGCAACATAAGTTTATACTTTTAAAAGCAATAAAGTTTGTATATTTATAGTAGACATTTGTTAGAGTTTACCTTTTTTTTTCCAAATGTCATTCGTTGCATTTTGTTTGTAAAGAATTAAACTGTTAAGAGGGAGAGAAAAAAAATTTTTGGAAAGAATTAGATTCAATAAAAGTGAATTAAGGTATTCATTAATATTTTTTTTTTATCATGGCGAAAATTCTTAAATAGTTTCTTGACTTCACTTAAAATGAAGGAATATCACATGGGTCCATTGTATGCATTTGGTCAGGTAAATGGTCAGTCTTCCAACATCAATGCCCATGTCCTAGACATTTCCATAAAAAAACATGACAAAGGATTCTTTAGGCCTACTTTCCCTGGATGCTTGCTTGAGTAGGTTAATCTTTTGTTAGAATACCAACACTCTGAATGTCTGATTACCTTTGGCAGCTTTGCTAATCCTGACACTGGTTGCCTTTTCATAGGTGCCCTCTTTGTGATCACCAGGTACCTAACTCGGTTCCAGAAGGATTTAGTTCACAGGGATTGTATACTCCATTTTAGTTGTTTTTTGTTGTCCAAAAATTGGTGCATATTTTAAAAAGCGTAAGATATATATCACAGATTGTAGCTTATTGATTTTAAAAGATAACACATGATTTCTGGTGGCATATCATTAAAGGCTGCGACTATTCGCACCCGGAAATCAGAAGTGACAGCTTGGGATTAAAAAATATTTAAAATATTATTGTTAGGTTTGTAAGACAAAATGAGGTATCAAATGAAAGATAATTGAATGTTTGTAAACTTACTTCTTCAGTTTAAATAAAATAAACTACCACAAATGACATCCAAATGGGATTTAGTCTAAGGGACCCAGGTACGCATAGCCGTTATTCGGACCTGGGCTCCTTTAGATACCTCATTTTGTCTTACAAACCCAACAATAATATTTTTAAGTCACTTTGCAAGTCACTTTTTTTCTGTAAATTGTTTTAAAAACGAATTATTTAAATCTGAATACAAATTCATATTAAAACGTATATTTAAAGGTAACCTTTCCTCTGTACAGCACAGTGAGCCCAGCCCTAGGCTGGGTTACCACGCTATACAAGACCACTAATTATTATTATTATTATATATTATTTCTTAACGAATTTCTTATTTTCCCATCAAACGTATGACTTATGGGCTCCCAGACCAAAACAGTATTTTTTTAAAGTAAGTATTTCATACTTTTTTGTGAACATGCCTTCAGTTTGAATAATTCATTTAGCATTCCAACTTATTGGTGAAAAAATCTACCATAGGCTATAGGGTGAAAAGAATTTAGAATGAGATGCATGTGCTATGTCCCATTGGGGTTGTTCAAAGACGTTTTTAAAATCAAATAATAAGAAAATTTAGCGATGTAAAATTTAGTGTTAGTTAAATATTATTGCCTGGAGATTATTTATTTTTAAAAATACACGAAAATTTACATGCATATGGGCGATATGTGTTAAGAAATAATATACGCCCCTGAGCTTTCAACTCTTAATATTAAAAAATTAAAACACGAATTTTTTGAAAAACTGCGGGGTTTATAAATTAAAAAATATAACTAACCTAAAAAATTTACGAACCGCGAATACAATTTCTTGAATGCAACTCAACAAATTAAAGAAATAACATATTGTAATGAAAGTGTAAATCTTGTTCAATTTATCGAGGATTATCTTTACTTTAAGTCTCAAGAAGTTGACGGAAAGACTTGATAAAATATTATTTAATAGCAAATCCTGTCTAGATATCTAGATAATTAATTGTATCCCTAACTAACTTAGAAACTTAGTTAACTTAGTAATTATAATTTGGTTCATTATCATATTATTTATCATACAAAAATTGATGGCTGCCGCTGGGTAGGCCCTCTCGCTCTCACTGTGTCAGACTCAGACTGACTACTTACTTTGTTTGGTCTTCCTGCTCATTTTAGTCTTACTGAACTTACTCACTGACAATGACAATGAGTTACACTTCTATGTGACGATAATACCTTACAACATATGAGTATGTATTATTGAATTATTGCTACTTAAACTTAAATAAAAATAAATTGGTACTTAATCTTCTTAGTAAGTAAGTCTAATTAGAGTCTGCATATACTGGCATAAAAAATATATACTTATATACTGTCACTGTCATATAGCCGCTATAGCCTCTAGACTCTAGAATGCCTCTAGTTAGTAGTTTGTATAGTATTTAGTCATACCTACTAAGTCTAATTCTAATAAAAAAGGAGTCTATTTAATGTATGTCTTTAAAAAAATGTTAAAGTAAAGTTACAAATCTAATCTAATAATTATTAAAATATGATTGATTAACTAAAATTAATTAATAATAATGATACGGTAAATTCAGAGAAAGCGGCCCGAGTCTATTTCCATGGCCGCCATCTTGGTTGCCTCGACCCGCGCACTTTTACGTGTTCACGGGTCGAGGCAACCAAGATGGCGGCCAGGGCAAAATAAAATAACTCATGTTTGCTAAAATTAGGAAGAAAACATTAAAAATTTATGAAAAAAATGTGTTAAATCGATCCCTATGCCTAACCGGAACCCTAAATTACTAAAGCTATCCCTAGGCCTAACCTGAACCCTAAGTCACTAAATCTATCCCTATGCCTAACCCGAACCCTAACTCACTAAATCTATCCCTATGCCTAAACCGAACCCTAAATCACTAAACCTATCCCTATGCCTAACCCGAACCCTAAATCACTAAACCTATCCCTATGCCTAACCCGAACCCTAAATCACTAAATCTATCCCTATGCCTAACCCGAACCCTAAATCACTAAACCTATCCCTATGCCTAACCCGAACCCTAAATTACTAAAGCTATCCCTATGCCTAACCTGAACCCTAAATCACTAAACCTACCCCTATGCCTAACCCGAACCCTAAGTCACTAAATCTATCCCTATGCCTAAACCGAACCCTAAATCACTAAATCTATCCCTATGCCCAACCCGAACCCTAAATCACTAAACCTATCCTATGCCTAACCCAAACCCTAAATCACTAAATCTATCCCTATGCCTAACCCGAACCATAAATCACTAAATCTATCCCTATGCTTAACCGGAACCCTAAATCAAAATCGATCCCTAAATCCTACGCCTAAAGCCACTAGTAAAAACACATGGAATTTACGTAATGGGGCAAAAAAACGATAAAAATTAACATAAAAATGCCCAAAATAATTATAACATAAAGAAATGATGAAAATCCAACTTACAGTTTCATGAAATACACTTTTACCCACTTTATTTCAGGTTCCAACGCAAATATAGCTACAAAATGAATAAATCTCCAAACCCCACAGGCACCCCAAAGATATCAAAGATGGCACTACCAAATAAAAATGATAATGAGCCAACCAATCAAAATTTTAAAATTCTAATTAATCAACCAATAAAATTTTAATTCCGAAAATGTAACTCTTTTAACAAGAACATACAAAAAAATAAGGGGAGTGAATCCAAAACAAAGTCGTCGTGGGCCGCTAAATCTGAAATAGCCAATGATACTTATACCGGTAGTAAAAGATTTTTAAAAAACAAAGTGGCTATTTGTACCCGGGTACCAGAAGAGGTTGGGATTAAAAAAACTATTTAAAATTTTATTGTTGGGTTTGGAAGACAAAATGAAAGATAATTGAATGGACTATATGTTTTTAAACTTAATTCTTCAGCTTAAGTAAAATAAACTACCACAAATGACATCCCAATAGCACAGAGTCAAAATGGACCCAGACACGCAGCGCCGCCATTCGCACTCGGGTACCATTAGACTCAAGCTATTTGGATGTCATTTGTGGTAGCTTATTTTAGTTAAACTGAAGAAATAAGTTTACAAACATATAGTCCATTTCATTATCTTTCATTTGATACCTCATTTTGTCTTACAAACCCAACAATAAATATTTTAAATAGTTTTTTAATACCAACCTTCCACTTCTGGTACCCGGGTACGAATAGTTGCAGTCAAAAAAAAAAATATCAATCATTTACTAATTTGTTGTTGTACCGGTAACTCTAAACACATAAGTCCTGTTATATTAGTGTTTATTGGCTTCATGCATATGAATGTAACTGATTAGAATTAATCATAGAATTAAATGTGTGAATATAATATAGATACATAACAAACATATTTAATCCCAAGCAAGAATTGAATCACAGATTTAAATTAGTCGTCCCTTACTTCCATCTACTGATATTTAGTCCATAATAAACATTTATATGGACATTCAAATAAAATTATAATTAATAAAAAGTTTTTATGTCACCTTTTTATGTGAAATTTCTCCCAAAATCAAATGAACTTTTGTGCATAGAGCCCAGCTCTAAATTCTAAACGCTTAAATCAAATTATTTTCTTAAACGTTAAACATTTTCAACTATTCTCTCAATAAAATAAAACAAATAATGTTTTACTCTTAACATATTGATATAAATAAAAGTATTGTATACAAACCATGTAAGTCGCATGAAGTTTCAACCGAATTTGCAAAAGTTATTTAATTTTTGTTGTCTCCTGAAAAATATGGTCTTAAGCATTTAGAGTAGTGGTTCTCAACTTTCCTAATGCCGCGACCCTATAATACAGTTCTTCATGTTGTGGCGACCCCCAGCCTCAAAATAATTTTCAGTGCCACTTCATAACTGTAGAGCATATACGTTTTCAGATGTTCTTAGACAACCCTTGGGAAAGGGTCGTGCGATCCCCAAAGGGGTCGCGAGCCACAGGTTGAGAACTCCTGATTTAGAGAGCTACAGTGACAATATAAACTAAGATACAATCAATAAGTCATTTTTTGTAAGGAAATTATTAATTTCTGTTATTTTTATTGATCAATTTTATATATGGATTTCTTTTATTATCTCTTAATTATTAATTTAATCCTTTTTTTAAAATGTATCTTGCTTGGCTAAAAGCTTTATTTATCAAATTTAAGTTAACTAACACAAACATTGACTTTTACACAGATATAATTCAATCAGCATAATCATTATTCCTTGTGTTGTTGCGTCCATTAAAAATATTTATTTTTAATACTTTTTGTATTGACTGTTCATTTGCAGCTGTTTTAATTTTGTATTTTAGATTCTTATCGTGGTATGCTTACAATGGAACTTAGAAGTCAAACTTATCATTTTAATTATTGACAATAATTACCATGGCTTATGACAACCTGGATCTACGAAGTTTTCAACACTGTCGGAAAGATGTTGACCTTGTATGTTTCCTACTACCAATCAACTGCCCACTCTGTAACCTGCCAACAGCCAACACAGAGAGTCGCATACCTCCTTATGTTCTCCCTTCACCATTTACATCTTCTTTGAAGTCTCCCAGATCTCTTATCCTCAAACCAACACATGGTGATTTTATTACGTGAGTTTATTTTTTTTTTACAAGTATGTTTATAAAGATTTTTAGAATTTACTTATGAATCTGTCATTTTCAACATAAGTTATCATTTTTTGCAATACTTAATAACAAAGATTAACAATGATTGTTGTAATACTTAATCATTTTTGCACCTGCATTTCTATTGTATCTCAAAAAATAATTCTGTTTAGAGTAAATTTATCCCTGTTGCACCTTGGGCAAATGGTGGGGGTGTTGGGATTCTTAATAAATATTTAAATTGCACCCAACAAATAACTGAAATTTATGTCTCCTCCCAATCCCTTTCTCTCTGAAATTGTGTTCTTCTCTGTAACTTTTACACACATAATATAAATATTGCCCAGTAGAAAACAATGTAGAATTGAATGTTGCTAAAAATCTTAAAAACCACTCTGCTATTTGAGTGTTTAGTCAACTGTACATAGAAAAAATTCTTGTACATTGAATGCTACTACATCTGTACCAGAGTACCCATTGGTTCATCTGATCTATCTCTGTAGGTTATATGGCTTGCTTTTATGACACTTTGTTATTTAGTCATTTGTTTTGGTTTCTATTATTTGCGCGTACAAAATTTTTCAGACAAGAAATTTGTTGATTAATGTTATAAATATTATTTCATTTTTTAAAAAAATAAATTTAAATAACTTTTTTATCCATGAAACTAAAAAACTAGAAATTAACCAGAAATGCCCTGACAGGCATGATGGACTTTTATTTTGCAACTTCATCATCTTAGATCACTTTAATGTCTATTTTACTGATTTTTATTTTTCATCATTTAATATTTTGTATAATTTGCTCAACCATTTTAACTGCAAAATTTCAACTCTGTAGCATATCAAAAGTGGAACCTACAACTTTCTCATTAATAAATAATATTTGTCAATTTTTAAAAATTGACTTCTGGGCAATTGGCATTAATTGAAAATTAATACACTCATATTTCAACATCTATTAGGAATTAGTGGAACAAGATATGTAAAGGCTTTTCATGAATAGACATGAGAATTAAAAGGATGTTTTGGCGAGATGCCTTCTTCAGTAGACAAAGCAAAAAAAAGAAACAATGAAGAATTAAAAATCAATACTTATATTTTGGAAGATTTCACCATTGAAAACCAAGCGGAAGTTAAGTTTTTCTATACCAAAACGTGCCACCCTTCATATTTGTCGTTCTTTTCTTTTCAAGCCTAAAAATATATTTTTTATCATTTCCTTCTCATGGCTTGAAGGCTGGAACACAGTCCTTCATATATTATCCAGCATCTTTTAACTTCTCACTAACTTGGAAATTATTTAGTAATATTTTAAAAATTTGATCCATTTTTTTTTCTTCAGGAGTTATTCAAGAGCCTGTAACCTGCACATAGGTATTACTGATGAAAGAGGTACATTTTATCACAAATTATAATTTTGTCTGTATGTATGCTTAACTGTAAAGCTTTGTTCAATAGGCACACAAAATAAAATTCTCAGAGATTCTTACATAACAGTGTTAAAAGAAATGCATGTTTTTTTTTACAAGCAACTTTAGTGGATGGGATGTTTTCAGATTGCCGCTAACATGGTTTGGCGGGTTATTTCTAGTATTTTATTTTCATGCTCTTATCAATTACAATGAGATGAGTTTATTTTTTTCTTCCTACATTCTTCATTTTGTTTTCCTCTTGGCACAGGATATGTTTATGACTTTGATGAGAAAGGGCTAAATCAGTTGTCAGTTTGGCCTGAGTGCTTACCAGTGATAACAGCTGATATGTATGATGCTGAAGCATGGGACCAAGCTCTGCAGTCTGTTTGTGGGCATTCAGCTTCTTGGCATGAATCAAGGTGTTTATTGCTAAATATGTCTGAAAGTTTAACCAAACATTGCACAAACCATTTGACGTGAAGAAGAATACATTTCAAACTGGCTTTTATGGCATTAATGAAATCAAGCGAGCGGCCAGTATTTTTTTTTTTTTATGGCTGTCCTCAGCTGTCAGGGTAATGTGAATTAAAGCTTTAAATAAGCCATATAAACCCCAACTCAGGACAGTTTAAAGTGCTAATCAGTAAACTACTTTAAAGGTAAGTGGGGAAAATGAAACATGGAATGTTTGTCATACATTTTATGGCATTAATGAAATCAAGCGAGCGGCCAGTATTTTTTTTTTTTTATGGCTGTCCTCAGCTGTCAGGGTAATGTGAATTAAAGCTTTAAATAAGCCAGATAAACCCCAACTCAGGTCAGTTTAAAGTGCTCATCAGTAAACTAATTTAAAGGGAAGTGGGGAAAATGAAACATGGAATGTTTGTCATACTGTGCAAAAATTTTCTTAGACTTACCAGTCAGTTCTATTGAAGTTTCCCAGAAAAAAATTCAAGTACCGACGAAAGCCATTAATAAAAAATGACAACTGTGCTTTATTGGTTTGCAGAATCTTAGTTGGTCAGGCTTTTAGTCTTGCTATACCTAAAAAAATTAAAAGGTTCTGCTAATATTTATTATAAACCTCTTCAAATTTGTTACTACCGTAATCCAAAACACTTTCTGAAATTTGTATCTTCAAGTTTTCACAATGGCATATCTCAAGATATAATATATTTTTTCAACACTGAAAGGGGTTTTTTGTGTGTTTTTTAAATGTTCTATTCTATTTATATTTATAGATATCACGAGGACCAGTGGAATTGTTTTGACTTTGTTCTGCAGTTCTTGCGACAGATGCGGCACCCTGAGGTGAGCGGAGCGGTAACAATGTCCAAAGCTGAGTTCTGCGATCATTACTTGACAAAGAAAGCCAAAAGAGCAGAGCAATATATCCATCTCTATCGACAGGCATTGCAAGATGGTTGTGTACAAGTCCCAAAGACAGCATCTTGATAACTCATATAGACTTTAGTCTAACTTTCTAATGGAGCTCCTTTGTTCAAAGTTGTATTTATTGAACGTGGTGTCTTGACTTTTTTAATCTATGAACTCAATTTCTTTGGTTTTAATGGTTTAATGTGCCCACATTTCATCTAAATTAGCTTGTTAATGTGACTTGAACTTTAGGATAACAATTAAGCTGCTAAATTACAAGATTTTTTTTCTTTTAAAAAATTGCTATAAAGAATTATAAACCATTGCTCTTTGTGACATACAAACCAAGAAAGTAAAGTCACTGTTTTTGTTCTGCTTGGTTTCTACCTAACCCATAATAAAATGTATGCCGCTTTAGGATTTTAAGAAATTTTCATGTGACTGAGGTGTTTAGACAGTTATTACTGGGAATGTTAACTTATATTGGGAACATAAATGTATTACTATTACCGTACTGGAAAAATTGTAACTTATTGGCTCAATCCTATCACACAAATAAATGACGTAAAGGGAGGGGGTGGAGGAATTGTGTTTTGCTTTTTAATATTAATTATAGAAATATTTTTGTACTTAACAGCTTCTTCTATATGTATTTCTGTACCGGTACTCAAGAATAATTAATATATTATCTCTAAAGAAATATATTTACATTTTCAATAAAAGTATATTTTTTTTAAACAATTAATTTTGTTTTTCATGATTTCTAAATTTTTATAGATGTAGTGGATTTAAAAACAAAAAGAGAAAATGTCTTTGATTTTCCATAGTAAAAAAAATAAAAAATTAAATAATGAAAGAACAAAAAAAAGGTGGATGTTGCAGCTGACCTGGTTATGCATCATTGAACAAAATTGGGCTTTGAGCATAGAATTGTTCAAATACATTAAGTCATATAGAGTTTTGAGTTCTTGCTCGATTATACCCAGGGCGCTTTTTGGTTCGTGTTTATGCTAATTGGAAGGCTGATATGAAATTATTAAATATCAATCCTTTCAACGGCACACGCTAACATAAACAATTTCTATTGTATCTTTACTCACTTTTGATCTACTCTGGCGCATCAGGGTTTTGGTAATAGTTGGCCGAAAATGCCGCCCCTGTATACAAGGAAAAGGTACCACACATGGTAGCACGACCACCCCCCCCCCCCACACACACACACACTTTTCCTGCACAACTTTTTGTAGGATTATCATATTGCAACTAGGGTACCAAGGAATTTCATCGCACGGAAGCCCCTCTTTAGTAGACTTTCACTGAATGCCTCCTCTCCACTCACGCATACCTGGCATCATCTAGGATCAGCTAGGACCTAGGTGTTCTTTCTAAATATTCAAGGCGGTTTCTTCAGGCTCCCCCCCCTCCTCCGCCGGGCACCGCTTTTTCATCGGCACTGCCTTGTTTGCAACCCACATCCCCCACCAAACCCACTTTTATCCCCAACCCACTTCTTTCCCCCCAGCAAACCCATTTCTA